TTTCGGGTGCCTGAAGAATGCTGAGCCGCTGCCCAGGATAGACGATCTTTTAGATCGGGTGCAGGGTTGTCAGTACCCAAATCTTTCCCCATTGTTCAAAAGCGCGGGCAATAGGAGCCGTCAGATGCAGAAATCTGGCAGCCGAGATCGGGTCCCAGCGCCGGGCCTCTTCCCACCGATAGTGAACCGGGCTCTGTATCTGTCCTTTAGGGGTACCACCCTCAGTCTCTTCTACATGAGAATGAATCTGGCGCTGTTGATATGCCAGATTCATGATCTGGAAATGGCCCTTGGAGGCGTAGTACCCCACATGGAAAAGTTTGGGCATGTAGTATCAAACGGCAGAAGTTTGGGTGCCCAAAACCGAAAAGGTTTTGGCATGGGTGCTTTCCACCAATAATCCCCCTGTACTATGCACCCAGGGAAAATGATAGGGGGGTGTTTTCATCCCACGTTGTTCCCTGGGCCCTACTGTCCTACTGGCCGCGGGATGAAACTACCCCCTGATCGTCACAAAGTTCGCGCGAACCTGCGCAAAAAGGGAGCGGTAAAATTCCACTTCCTTATCCTTTTCTTTTCCTTTTTGTTTCTCTTTCGGGTTTTATTGATGGTCGCCTGAGTAGAGCATAGCCTCCCGTCTCCTTGGGCAAGCGTAAGTTCTGGAAAACAGGACAGAGCTGGTAGCTTCGGAATAATCTGTCTCTCAGTCCCTTGTATCTTTCCCTTGCCCTTGACGACGGTTCAAACCCAAGAGGAAAACACCTCGGCCCGAAATAAGAATCCCCCGTTCCGCCCGGGCGATTCAACCCCACCAGCCAAAAATCCTCGGCCACACGTTTGCTGGTACGGAATGGCGTGCGGGGTGTGAGGTTAGCGCATCATAAGCGAGCTGGCGAAGGCATTGCCAGCCACGATCGAATAAACTGGAATCCATGCCAGAATTTATGCAATTCCTCTGACTTAACTGATTGTATAGCTTGCTCATTTCAAATGTTGCATACTTCTTTTGCAGGCGTGGAGGTTCGACGTCGCTTAGATCTCGATCTATTCACCCCCAATTTCAACATATAGGAGAACATGGGGACAGGTTTATAAGATTCTTCCGTCACGGTGGAAAGCTCCCAAGTCCATTTTGGAAGCATCTATTTGTATCTCTACCAAGGGTACTTAGCCCCTGCCAAGGAGGAAGGAGGAAGAAGGGTGGCCATGGCTATGGTGGACCTCATGTGAAACTTGCAGTAGAAGAGGTATTGGACATCGATTCTGGTTCAGCCATTCAACAGTATTATTATTATTAAGAAGGGAGGAGATAAGGAGGAGGAGAGTGGTTGGTGAAGAGGAAGGGAATTCTCATTGGTCTTTGCTGGTGTACATCGTCTTCTTCGTCTTTCTTTCATCTTCTTTCTTTCATCTTCTTCTTCTTCTTCTTCTTCTTCTTCTTCTTCTTCTTCTCCTTCTTCTTCTTCCTTCTTTTTCTTCATCTTCTTCTTCTTATTCTTCTTCTTCTTCTTCTTCTTTCCCTCTCTCTAATCTCAAGTTCATTCATTTCTCTCTGGCAATTGGACGGCATTGTGCTTTCTGGAGAATGTGTACTTCGAAATTGGCCAGAAAGAAAAAATGGGAAAAAAAATTAAGGGTACATTGATATCTTTTTTTGGACAACTTTTCGTAATGTAGGGCTTATTTCTTCACATACCTGTAACAGAATAAAAAAGAAAAATAAAAATGAAAATGAAAATATAAAAGAAGAGTAATTTATTTTTAAATAAAATAAAACACGCACGCACGCACGCACGCACACACACACACACACACACACACACACACACACACACACACACACACACAGTTGGTCTGAGTAAAGTAGACCACTTTTCTCAGGGGTATCACTAGCTCTGTGTTGAGTCCGTGTCCAAAAGTCAAATGCTTGCTGGGAAGACTGTCGGGGTTCAATCTCCTGCTGAGTCGGTGAAAGTCCGAGGAAACAGTCTGGCACAGTCATGCTTTTTTTGATTGTATAGTGAATATGACAACACATTCGCAGACACACACTCACACACACAAGCACATTCACACATGCACACCAACACAAACACACACACACACAAACACACTGTGACACATATTCACACACACGCATGCACGCGAACACAAACGCATGCACACGCATCCTCTCTCTCTCTCTCTCTCTCTCTCTCTCTCTCTCTCTCTCTCTCTCTCTTGCGCGCGCGTGCGCACAGACAAACACACACACACACACACACACACACACACACTCACAGAGCATAGGGGACACTGGCCCGGGAGCCAAGTCCCACTTACCCCTATGCTTCATATCTGACCCTGGATCTCCTTTTTTTTTTTTTTTTTTTTTTTTTTTTTTTTTTTTTGGAACAAAGCTCCAATCTAATTGTGGGGAGCAACACGTGCTGGGAACCGGGCCCAGCATCCCATATAGAAATTTACATAGAATTTTGAAAGAATTTGGAAAGCTTGCGGTACCGGGGCCACTACCCGGCTTTGGCTAAGAGCTAGATTTAACTTAAGAACTACAAACAAGCTACCGAAAATAGGCAAAAAAACAGAAAAAGACTCAGACCCCCCTCCATCCTCTTTACCTCACTCTGGCAAGACTTTACTGCAGCAAAGCCACCATCTCTGCTGCCACTGTACCCTATTACCATCCTACCAGCTGGCCCCCTCACTCGTAGGAAGCTTGATATCCAACCATCTTCTCCCACTCACCTAGGCAAAGTTTCAGAAAACATCTCAGAAACCCCCATCCATCCTCTTTACCTCACTCCTGCAAGACTTACTGCAGCAGAGCCACCATCTCAGCTGTTACTGTACCCTATTTCCATCCTACCAGCTAACCCCCTACCGCCACAAATGAGGGATACGGGTAAGTGGGATTTGGCCCCAGGAGTCTGAGCTGGGTAACGGCCCCAGTACCAGTACAGTCTTTCCTTATATCAGGGCCCAAGTCCCAATAGCAGCTTTGAGTTTCCTCAATGCCTGAATCTAGTTGGGTTTGTGGAGATCTGCAGTTGGGCAAACTCAAGGCCGTTTCTGCACATTCCTCAAACACGTCCAGATTCAGGTGTTGAGGAAACTCAACGCTTCTAGTGCACATTCCTCAAACACGTCCAGATTCAGGTGTTGAGGAAACTCAAAGCTTCTAGTGGCACTTCGCCCAAGGTTGTATGTGGGGCTTTCCCGGCCCCGAATGTTCCCTTTAAAAATAAATGCTTTATGGTTCTCCAAAAAGAAACAAGAAAGGGGAAACTACGCCGGAGTCACAAAATTGAGTTACAACTGCACTATGGGGCCATGGGCCAAGATACAGTTTCGAATTGCAGTTCGGGCAATGTGTACAACCCAGCTTTCTGCCCAGGTAGGGTGCCCGAACTGCAATTGCAAACTGTGTCTTGCCCCAGAGTACATTTATAACTGGCCTGTGTGACTCTACTGAAGTTACCCCCCACAGTTAAGGTGCGTTATGTTCGGGGGAAGACAGTAGCTCTCGCTGATCCGCGCATGCAGGCCCTCGTCCTCGTGATAAGGGCAGTCGTCTCCCTGATGGGTTCTGTGCGGAGTCCCATCGCCGCGGAAGGGTTCTGTGCGGAGCCCCATCGCCGCGGAATTGCGGCGGACGGGCAGGTTGCAAACTCTTTTTCTTTTTTTCTCTTTGGGGTAACTTCTGAGCGGAGCCCAGTCCCCCGAACATAACGCACCCTAACTGTGGAGCCCTCCTTCCAGTCCGATACAGTCATGCTGAGGGCGCGCTGTGTTCGGGCGAAGACGGCAGTGCTGACCTGTAGCAATAGCAACCACAAACACGATCTAACTCAACCGCATGCCTATCTCATATTACACTATTTTCCTTTATATATGCTGTTTGTGAAATATAGGTACTCTAAAACAGAAAACAGAAGAAAAAAACTTCCTAACATCACGTGGGACTGCCACTTCGAGCATGAGATGGCGCTGTCACGCGCCCCCCTCCTCTCCCCTCTCTCTTTCCCTTCCC